AGGCGTTTAGAATATCAATCATTTTGTCATGAGCGTGGTCAGATCCCCAACATAAGCTTGACAATAAAATGAACACATGTATTGAAATGAGAAAACATGGAGCATTTGTTCCATTTGTGTTGTTGCATATTTCTGTGTGTGTGTGTGTGTGTGTGTGTTGCTGTTTTGGCAAACACGACCATCAGAGAACAGTTACCGACTTCTCAATCTGGCAAAATGTGCAGTTTGCATCTATAAACGGCAACTACTCAAAAACCTGGGAGCCATTTCCCCGTTCGTCCTCTGTGCCGTTGGTGCGACCGAGCGGCTGCCGTGACTTTGTGGTCGGTGCCAGCAGATACAATTAGGACAGTTTGGCTCAGTGGGGCGATTGATAATGTGGAGAGGGAGCCCGGCGGGAGCCACATCACGGGGAAACAGTCGGGCCGTGTTTGTGCTCGCGCCCTTATCTTCACTCCTAATGTGAGACAACATCAGAGTGTGTGCGGAGCAGAGAGGATGCAGTAACACACGTCTGGAGCCTGTAACACGGAGGTGGGGAACCTTTTTTCCATCAATCATTTATATCTTTATGCCATCCTTCGAAGGCCACGATGAATTATTATTGAATTGATTCCAGTTCACAAGGTCTTGTTTCAGTTTGATCTGTTTTGTGTAACTGTGCAAGGAAACCTCTAACTTGGAGAAAAGCATAATGGTAGGCCCGTTACGATATCACATTTTGTTGGACGACACATCGCCTCAGAAACGATTGCGCTGAATTATAGCACAATCATAATTATGAGTTAGGAGAACGGCTGATTACAGTCGTCAGCGGGGATGACAGGTTTGGGAGAAGCTCCGAAAAAAAACACTGCTCCGTTTCCGTTTTGTCTGAATCCACAAGCTTGGGGACGCCGTGCACACGTTCGGACTGTTGAGGACATTATTTTTTTTAAACTCGAAATCAAAGCAATTAAAGTTAAACGTTCTGCTAAGTGCAAAATGGAGCAGGTACAACAAGATGAAGGATGGAGAGGTGAGTAAACTGCAGAGTGGGCCGGCTGGCGTTGGGTTTATGTGAAGAGCAGCAGTTGTTGTTTACTCCTCGATGGTCCCTGGCAATTTGGAAAAATGAGGAGGCACAGCTGCCCGTCACCAGGCCTCTGATCAACGAGCCTCGGGGAGGTAACCGCACTTTTCTGTGTGGTCGCTAACTTTAGTTTTTTAAATCTCAGGTTTATTTCGAGCGAGGAACTGACTCCTGTCTTCTGCCAGCACAGCGGGGGTCGTTCTGCTGGCGACGCCACGCGCTCGTACGTCTATGACAAGTCGGAATAAATGCCTATTTACACTTCACACGGCAGAAGCGTGGAGGCAGCGGACCTGCAGCCCGGGTGACGGAGCCTTTATCTCGGTTTCTATGGTGTGAAAATGTGCGTATGAATTATTTATTCAACAAGGACGGATTCAAACGCTGAAGCAGTGGAATAAAATGCCTCTCACATCGGTTTGTAAGCTATTTCCACTTAATGTGAGCTAGTTGCTAATATCTGTCCTTGGAGCGGGCGGCTACACAAACACTCAGCAGTGTGTGTGTGGATATTCTCCTCTATGCATGTGTATAATACAGTGTACAGTGTGTACTATGCATGAGAACTACATTGTTGGAGAGCAGTATATGTACGCACGCTGTATGTTTTTATATATTAACGTTAAATGATTAACGGGTTCGATTCCTTCCTGGCCGCTGGAGTTTTCATCTGCAATGTAAATGTTCCCTGTTTTGTTTCATCGACACTTTTAAAAGAGTTTGTTGTATTAACTGATCTAATTTTACCTTCAAACAAACTGACGTTCATGAAAAGTCTTTCATGTTGTACGGATCCGAACCACGGCAGGTAAACTGTGTGTTCAATATTCATGTGGTTTGTTCTCTTGGATTTTAAATATTCTGTCTGAGTTCGACACATCCTGTTTTTCATGTTTCCTTCAGCAGCAGCAGCAGGATGAGAAACGTTTCCCTCGAGGGACACAAATAATAATTATTTATATTTTTACATTAATCGAAATCTTCTCATCGGCGGCTATTTGACGTGAAACCTCAAACAAATCCAGTGCAGAGATTTTTGTTCTCTTCTGCTGAACACATTTTTATTTTCTATTGGCTGGAAATGGCCGCAACCTGTGTTTACCAGTTAATTTGGATGTAACAGAGGTGCGATACTACTTCTAACATATCAGAGGGATGAGATCAATCCCTGAAGTCTGAGTTTTTTATCTTCTGAAGAAGAAGAAATGATCTTGCAGCTGAATTTCAGTTCCCTGTTCGGTGTTGAGCCAAAAATACAGCGTTGACGTTTGTAATCCTCAGATCTTAACTTTCACTTTGTCAGCAAAGTGAGAAGTGTTGTTAAAGTTCATTATGTTGCAGTAATGCTTCTTTATTATCGAGACAGCTGAACGAAAATATTTAGAGGGTGTAATAGAGAAACACACACACATGCACACACACACACACACACACACCTTGTTGCTCGCCAAGTGTTTTCTTTGTCCCAATTTGCTTTGTGCGCTTTCAGCAGGATTACTTTATTATAAGAGAGGATGAGAATCACCTCTGTGCAAATTGAAAACACTTCCCCACCGACGTGTGTGGGTTTCTCTTCTTCAGTGTACACGCAAGTTCAGACGTGTGAGTTTGGATCCGAGTTCGCCACAAATCTCTCGCCTCTCGTCTTGATTATCTCCGCGTGGCGACTGCACGACCTTTTCTCTTTTGGCTTTTCTTAAATGAAACCGATTCGGGCAGATGCCAACTAAAGGGCGCCGAGCAGGACTGACCTTTCTGGTCCTTCAGACAGCGAGAGACCCGGGGAACAATGTTGGGGACAAAGTCCGTTAAACACTTTCTATTCAAATGCACAGATTAGAATGCCGGCTGTAATTCCATGAGCCTCTGCTGTTACTACGAAGGAGACATATCCTACGCTTACTCAGACCGATGATTTGGAAAATGTCGGCCTCTTGTACGAGGCTGTCGGCTGAACCCGGCCGTGGTGCAGGAGCATATCAATGACACCCAGGAGGTTTTTTGAAGAACACTTTCATGGGTATTTCACCGCGGGGATCCCACTCTGCAGAATCGCCCTGTTACACACATTCAATGATGTCCTTGTAGGAGAGGATGTGTCTGATCTGAGAGCAGCTCGCCGCCCCGCTGAGATCCGCACCCTGCTCTCTGGTGACAGGGGGGAGGGTTCACCCTCTTCTTTCCATTTCACGGCACAAAAATAGAAACGCTGACAACAAGAGCGTGAAAAAACATCGACGTTAACAACCATTTAAAATACAATCGAGGTGATTTTCATAATACAGCGAGATAAAACAGGGTAATTACCCCAAATATCACTTCAAGGCAAAGTATAACTTTATACTTCATTACAGCTTTCAGACCTGCACTGAACTCCAGATGTTCCCCTGAGCTGAGGACGCTGGAGCTGCTGGATGGATGGATGCACATTTTATGAATTGAAGGATCACAGGGAACGCACTTTAAACGATTTCACCTCGGGCAAGATCAGAAAACCCAGAGACCCCAGTGACTCGGCTGCACAAGTCAGGAGGCCACAAAAGATTTGCTCCTCGGAGACGAAATATTCTCCAGATACGTCCCTGAACTATCCTGTCTCACCTCTTTCCTACCGACACGTGTGTTTGTGTCTGATTCGGGAGCTCGTCCATGACTGTGCACTTTCTGCTTCGCCCACTTTGTCGCATATCGCATCACGTGCACGTCTCTCTGTTTGTTCACGCACCGTTCACAGAGGCCACGGTGTAAACAAAGCTTTACGGATATGGACGAAAAAGTCCAAATGGAGCAGCACCACTTTGTAACGCAAGTTAAGATAAGTGTTGTGCAAACAGATTATCATTATTATTATTACTGTCAGTGACTGGTTGCACAACGCAGCCAACAAATAACACACGTCCTTCCTAATCCGTTCAAACACCTGAATAAATAACGTAAATTTAACAGCACACATTGACGAGGAGAAGGAATCTCATTGGAGGAAACGTGTGAGTGTAAAGCACAGAACGTGATGAAGAAGCTCTCCCACTGCCGTCATGTCATCGTGACACTGAAAATCTCATTTCACCAGAGCTCGGAGACGCCGGCGTCCTGACAGACAGCGGACTGAACATGTGACGAGCAAATCTGATCAAAGAATACAGGTTGTCCCACCGGTTCTAATCTGATTCCGTCTAATCATCGACAGGACCGCCGCTGATACGTCCTGATCCCAGATGGCTGCTTGGCACTTTTAATGTATTGTATTAAATCTCCCCCAGCTGCCCCGAGCCTGACCCCGTCCTCACGGCGAGGTCGGAGCATCAACGGACAAAATTTACAGAGGTTACAAAATGTTATGTTTTCTGAAACTAATAATTAGAATAATAATAATCAAGAATCAGCAAAAGGGCCCGATTTATTCAAAGTGCCAGCAGCTGTTACCGACCGACAAGGATTTAATAGGTTGTTGAGTCGATGGTTCCAGATGTTTGCGATGGGATTAATAAGTTTTGGCAAAGGTTTGGTTGAAGAGGTTCGGTGGCAACTTTAAATCAGCTTTGATTTACTCTGTTTCTCAAGTTTGCACTCGACTACGGCCATGTTTGTCTCGCACACGCGTTCACTCGCTTTCCACTTATGGCGGACGTGGCCCGAAATAAACCACGATTCATATTTTGAGAAATCATCCGTGTATGCAACACCAACACAATGAGCTGAGATAAAAAAAAGCCTCAGAAAGTCTGAGACAAAGAGTCGTTCTCATTCCTCAGCAGCTCTAATCTGTCTGTACTGTGACTGCAGAGTGTGTGTGTGTGTGTGTGTGTGTGTGACAGAGTGATACCTTGAGTCCTCCACACTCCGCTGCCGATGCCTGGTCCACTCCGGTGATGTAAATACCCAGAGCGTACTCTGCTCCCCCCCGGATCATCAGCCCAAGAGACCGGCCGTCATCCAAAACCAAGTTGACCTATTAAAACGCAGACGGAGACAGAAACAGAACAGTGTGAACAACATCAACATTTTAAAATCGGTATTTTTCTGCCGTCTCCACCGTGTTGCTTGGCAGGCAGCCACGTTTCACCCGTGGTGCCGAGCTGCTCGAGATGTGACACGATGCACGGAGGGAATGACAGCGCTGCTCTGAGCCGGGATTTGTCTGCAGACAATAAAAGCGTTCCAGGAGCTACTCAGATGTGGATGTGACTCAGAGGCAACGACGAGGAGGAATCAACTCAACCACTCGGTCAATCCCCAAAAAATTTAAATACTCACATTTGTTAACTGAAGGGTCAGAGTTAGTGCAGCAGTATTTATCATGGATATATTTATCTGTATTATCCCCGTGAGGTTAAATTGTAGTATCAGTATCCACACAAACCTCAGCCGAGCACCAAAGATACGATATAAATACATGTCAGCGATATTTTTAACCTGTAAAAGCACTTTGTACTTCGTCTGTGAAGCAAAAAACCTGTTTATTATTAAAACTCCAACATGTTGTGTCGTCATTTCTAGATTTTTATGAATTGCGTGATTTGCAGTGACCGTGGCAGTTTTGCAGGTGGCTAACGTCCCTCCTGTGGTTCAATCCTCGAGTCTTTAAAAGTTTGCTCCTCCTGTGATCTGTCCCAGAGGCCGTAGAGTTTGATGACGGCTTCGTTTTTATCTGATGAATCTGCTTATTTGAGCGACTCAGGTATAATCCGCTCATCTTTGTTTGGAGCCTCTGAGTCACATCGTCAATGTTGTCCCTCTGTCACTCTGCAGCTATTTTACTTTGTCCCCGGAGCCGGCAGCTCCTTTAATTCACTAATCTATTAACGTCAGAGCCATCCCTGCTCGGGGGGGCAAACAAGATTACACGCAGATCTTTCCCAAATCTTTGCTTACAGTGATTTACTTGTGGGAATGTAATTCAGACTTTAAACGAAGATTTGATCCTTTTCTTCTCTCGATGGCATTAACATGTGCTCGTGCCCACGTAGACTTAAAAATAAATTATTCATTTTTAAAAACTTCTGACTCGTCGCCACTTAACTCAGCGTTTCCCAAAGATTTACATTTGGAAAAGCGGAGAGAGCACATTAAAGCTAACGTCGTCCGCGGAGAGACTTCCAGCCGTGTGCAGCCAAAAATGTAAATTGCCCCTCCCCCCACCCATCAGCTGAACTCCATCACCAGATGACACACAGAGTTCCTGGGTTCTCTTCTCTTCTCTCCAAGCTGCTGCAGGTTTTGGCGTCTTGCTTTCATCAAGTGCTTTTAATAACCGCCCGCTTACCGGGGCTGAGCTCGCCGCCGTTGGCTCAGTGGGGACACGGAGGTGTTCGTGTTCTCTCTGACATTTATGCAGGACATGGAGAACAGTTTTAATTAGCAGACTCATCCCTCCTTTATTGGCTGCATGAAGCGGCTTTCGGGGCTCTACACGTTTCCTGGCATCAGCTGTTATCAGGGAATTAACTCAATAAGATGCCTCGCTCCGGAGGACGATATATTTCGTGTATTTCGGGTATAAACACACGACATCTTGTGCTGTTGATGTTATTTACAGAGTCTGGATCGTGGTGCGGAGCCTCTGTGTTGAGGTTCTGTCCATTTTACGGGCTCTACAAATAAAAAAAAAACTATTTTAATGCACTTTACAAGTTCAAACTACGCAATTTGTAGCCAAGTCAAATTGGCTGAAGTCAGACAGAACTTTTCTACGCAGCTAAACGGAGTCACTTCCTCCTCCTAATATGTAAATGGCCTGAGAGCATCACTTGTTACCATGGTAACAGTTACTGCGTGACCAAGCTCTGGGAGGAGCGATATAATTTATATCGTCATGATACAAACTCACATCGCTGGACTTTGAATACTTTAGTTACTGGTGTGAATCATCTCTGTGGGACTGTTTTTTTTTTTTTTACAAATTCACAGACGGAGCCCGAGCAGACGGCGGATCCCCCACAAGCCGCTCCGTCACTGTCAGAGCAAAACAGAGCGCAGCGTTTTAATTGCCCCTAAACAACAGAGCCGGAGGAAATAATACGAACAGAGAAGCGGATTCAGATTTCTTTCAAATCCACAAACACACAAACGAGCTTTTCCTAATTTACATATTTATTTCAAAGCACGTAAATATCAGAAATCTTTTTTTAAATTCTTAAGAGACAACAGGAGCCAAACTTGTGCAGGAGTAATATTTCCTAAACTTTATCTGCATGGCAGCAACCGCAGCCTGTGTTAATGCAGCGGAGGCCGTTAAGATTAATGTGCGGCTCTCAGCTGCTGAAAAATTGAAAGTTCTCGTGTAATAAATCTTTGAAGCAGCTCTGACAGCTCCTCCCTGCAGGTCAGGAGGTGCTGCGGAGGTGCTGAGGAGGTGCTGAGGAGGTGAGCGTCGTGGGACTGAAAGTCCAATTACTGTTGTTTTTAAGTTTTTTTTTATTATGTTTTTTTTCTCCGATCATATTTTTCCATTACAGACTCCAACAGTTATAACGTACTGATACTCCTCCTGACAGCCGTCACACGCAGCCTGGCCTCAACGCTGCGCGACCCGACGACGACCCTCCAACGCACTCAATCTCTTTAAAAGCCATTAAAACTGGGGGCCGCGGAAATAATTGAAGCACGATTTTGCGAAATGCGAGACCTAAGTGTTGTTTCAAACACACAGAAAATGGTTTTCCGTGGAGAGTTAATGGGAAATTTCTTGTTTCCCAAACAACAGTTGTGTTTTTCCAGAATAAAGAAATGACCACGTCAGACCACAATGCAGCACAAGTTGCAGGACGGGTTTTTTTCTTCCATTTATATTATGAACTTATAGATAAAAAAAATAAAACATGCAGTTACAGTTAATGCAAATAACAAAATGAGAAAGTTGAGTCAAGTGGAAAACAAAAGTCCAGAAATCAGCAGATGTGACTTTTGTTAATCAAGTGAAACAGGTTTCTGATCCTTGTCTCTGTTTTGACGTCAGTTCACACAACGTGACTTCTGCTGAATCATATGATCACGATCACAGAGGCTCATTTTTAATTTCTGCCTTCAGAGAAAGTCGAATATTGTGTTTATATTACACCGTATTTATAATTCATAGGTTTAACACTTAGAGTAGACGCTGTTGATTACTTAAGATCGGAATAATTTAGCTATTTTTACATTCATCATGAATATTTGATGTTATGTTGGTTAAAATGACACTAAGCTGGGAATAAGGAGTAAATGAAGGGAGTACAGTAACGAATTAAAGTTTTATTCACGTTTCACAGCAAACGACAATGAATAATCGTGAACGTCCAGTTACCTTGAATCAAATTCTCTTGGTTTAAACATTATTTGAAATATTTTGGATAATGTTCGTGGTCTGATGGTTTTGATTGTTGCATATTTCATCTTTAAAAATTATGACAAATTCAGAATTTAAAAACTTGACTTCATCCCTGTTGCTGTTATGATTCCTTGCAGGTGGAGCTGAGACTTAAATAAAGAAAAGAAGCAGACACTGGAAACACTGATCCATTATTCAGTCTCTCCAGAGTCACGTCTCACCTTCTTCTCGTCTCCCTCCTGCAGCAGCTGCATGTTGCTGCGTCGCTGGCTGTCATTTCTTTTCAGGGTGGCGCTGCGATGCTCCAGCAGGTCGGGCGGGGGTGACACACCTCGACCCTGCGGGTCGACCCAGGTATAAACATGATTGGTGACATAGCCGCCAGGAATTCGCCCGACCGAGCGCACAGAGAGACAGAGCTTTTTACTGCCCTTCAGCACCTGAGGAGAGGAGAGAGAGTGTCCAGTTTAAAGATCCGATAGTACACAGAAAACTTCGATTCACGTCATTTGATAGCATAAGAGTATCACGAACATCACTAAAGGTATATTTGGAAGAAAACTGAAGTCTACAGAGACGCAACACAGTTTTACGGTGCTGGTTCATTGCCCACAAACACCACACAGCAGCAGAAACACACATTTACCCACAACAGTGAAAACATTGCTGACACATTTCTACTGAGTTGCTGTCGGCTGTGCCTCATTGACTTCTGATCGTTTTCTGTGTGAGCCGTCTCTCTGCAGGTCAATGTTTTCCATGCGACCAGAATAAATGGGGCTGAAACTCTGACTCGTCAACACGACTCTCGTGCAACACCAACGTGGAACAGAACCCCTGCTTTCATTTCAAACATCTTCACACATGAGTGCAAAGCTTTAGCTTCTCAGAATAGAAAGTTTTCCTGTGCAGCAGTTTGAGACTTTACGTTTCAAGTGGGTAAGTAGGGTAAGTAGGCCAAGCGTCTTTTTACCCATTAACCTTCTCCAGCTGCTGTAAAGGTTCAGAGCTCAATGTAAGAGCTCAATGTAAACCAGATTTGGGGGCAGAGCCTTTATTTATCTCCGCTTCATTATTGCATCTGTCCTTTATTGTAAATGACCTGTTGTTGCTTCGCATCCTGGAAAACCCTGGCAGCGTCTCACTCGCTGGAACAAGGTGACTCCTTCTAAAATGAAACGTCCTCTCTCTCTCTCTGATGGTTAGTATATAAACAGATTTGTACCTGCATCACCTTTGCTGTTGCAGATGCATTGCTCAGCTGATTATGTGTCTGCCGGGCTCCTTTATAAACAATCGACTAAAAGGCTTCATTCATCATCTCAAAGAGAATAATGTCGTTTAACGTCAGTCTGTGATGTTGTTAGTGCTTTAATGTTTTCCTACCAGGGTCTTTATTCAATAAATATGACAGAGAGAGAAAAGAAGCACGAGACCAACATTAGTCCTTGTTGCAACCAAAGGAAGGGAGGCGGAGGACAGCACGGACACGTGGAGTCGTGGGGGGGGTTGAAGAGGATAATCCTGCAAACAACAACTCAAACTATCACTGGTCCGAGTGCTGTGGATCTCAGAGAAGGTCTCCAACCAGCTGAGTCAACTTCACAGTCCTGATTTGTGCTGAGGGACGATAAACCAAACACACCCGTCATCCCTCCTCCCTCCTCCTCCTCCCCTCCTCCCCTCCTGTTCTTCTTTATGGGCAGCATAAATACACAACGGAAGATAAAAGTCTCCAACAGACGAGTTTGCCGACACACGAGCCGGCACAGCACTCGTGGCCTTTAACTCACAGACGCAGAGGATAAAGCTTGAAGAGAGAGAAATACTTGCACATGGAAAGGCACAAAAAAAACACAAAAAAAACATGAATGGCGTGACGTCAAAGCGACTTTATTTTTGATCGTGTTACTGTGCAGCCAGACATCACCAGGGGGTCCTGCAATCAAGATGGCACTGCAGAATAAACACGCTGCACACGTAGCAAAGAAAACACGTTGTTCAAAGCTGCGGAACAACTGCAGGATTCAGAAGTTTAAATATTCATTAAAGGATAAAATGGAAGAAGTAACTGATGTATACTAACTCCATGACGTGTAGCAGGAGTAGGACACATACACACTGCCTCGCTTTGACTCCGAGACACTTTGCCAACCAGCTGAAGAGCATCACTGTGATTTATGGTTCCAAACAGGCGGCGCCGCGCTGCGTGCCGTTCTCAGAAATTATAACTGCATTTAGACGAACCGAAGGGAGAAAGCAAGTCGAGCGTTGTTTCTACGCAAACAAGACACACAAGGAGAAACAGCAAAGACGGAGAGTGATGGAGGCGGCGGCGGCGGCAGGAGGGCAGCGGGTTTAACGGGCGGCTGCGTCCCGTGAATAAGAAACAGCGGTAATAGACGAAGCAGCCGCGGTACAGTGCCGTCTTAATGCATCGTCCCTGGAGCAAAGTGCTGATTGTGACAACGGGCTGATGAGGCTGGGCCCCGCTTGAGATCAGAATGAACAGCACTGGGAAAATAATGGAGTATATTTCAGGGCATAATGGGGAATGGCAGGTAAACTGCTCTGAGACAACACTGTGGAAAACAAACAATATGCTCTCACGAGGGCGAAGGTAATCCATTTCATAAACAAAGGCTGACTGCACAGAGCGAGGCTGCAGAGGCCGTCCGGTTCCATCGAGCAGAAATACGCGGTCATCACCGTGGGACTTTTTAAAGGCAGCCAGGAAAATAATGGCACAGAAGAAAAAGACCTGACACGAGGCAGGAGGGATTAAAACAAAACGCCTGTTTATGAAGAATCTGGATTAAATCTCCCAATGGGGCAAAGAGGAGGAGATGTGTCTCTAAAGGTAAATGGAATCATTAGATGATCAATATTTACCCACAATTATCTGTTTTCTTTTTTCTTTTTAGGCGGTTCATAAAAAAAAAAAACACTTGCAACTCTACAAATTCACAAATCAATTGATCTCTGGACTAATGTTTCTTCTGTGCTGCGGGCCGACGACCTGGCAGCAGAGTTTGAAGCATTCAGCGCTAATTGTTCCTGCTAATTACACATTTCATGAGTTGTTGTGAACACACTTAACGCACAGGCAAAGTGCATCCGAGCGTGTGCAGTCTGGGTACGCAGTCGCTCACACAAGCGAATAAAGACGCCGACCTGCTGAGACAGATCAGATGTTTTTAAAAGGCTCCCGGTGAGTTTCTTAGGTCTGAAACACATTTCCACTTCAATCCAGAATAAATGCTTAATTATCCTGGATTTTAAACGCTGCCATCTTGCAGAAGCAATCGAGGGATGGAGCCGCAGCATCGAGGTCCTCGACCAATCACTCTGTTTCTAAAGCATCAAGTAACCACTGATCAGAAACACAAACATCAGAGACATCTTATTGACTTTCTTCCATGTGCCATCTACTAACATGGAGGAGGAGATGTTCACGACTTATACTGCAGCCGGGCATCAGAAGCCACTTTGGCCTCACATTTGAGAGCCGTCGTCACACACACACACACACACACACACACACACACAAACTACAGCTGAACACCAGAGCCAGTATTGAGACGCATCTTCTCCGATTCCCGGTTTCACACGTTCACACTCAAACAGTCAAGATGCATCAGGACGCCGTTCATTGTGAATTCAACCTTGACGACAGGCTGGTGCCACTCAGCACCGCTCCAGAGCTGAAAAAAAGCCTCCGAGCAGCACGAGCTGTGAAAGGATCCGCCTGGTGTACAGTAAATTTGTCACCACGCACGACAGCAACAACCTGACGACCACTAAT